AGTGAATGTAGAGAGGAAGTCAGTGAACTAAAGACACACGATTCGAGCCCCGGGGGGGAATGTGTGTTGGTATTCCCAAGGACCATTCATTGGTGCACCGTCGATTGTACTTGTGTAACATTTCCTTTAAACTCGACCATTTAAATGTTTATATATTGTTACACATCTACCTTAGTGCAATCCCTATCTGAGCTTATTCCGGTCCATTTAACAAGTTTAAATATACATAGTTGGTTGGGGATCGCAAAATAAAGATCCAATTCCAAGGGGGCATTACACTACAACTAAATTGTAACCCAAGCAAATAAAGGGAAGGTTGACGCAGGAAATAGTATCACAACTATGGAGCCTATATTGATCAAGCGACTCTCAGAGAGGCGTGCAGCAAGTACAACGGCTAAACACATCAGATCATGTTTCTGAGATCGAACGAAAGTGCTCACCTACGGCGCAGATACTAGCGGCAAACCCGACAGATATATATGGGTAAGCAATTAAAATGAGGATACAATAAATTCGAGCACGGGTCCTTGTTAATTTCTATTCAATGCGTAGTCAGCTCGGTTGAATCACAGTGAACATATTCACACCTACCTTCTCAAACCAATCTATGCTACAGGTGGATATTACGAATATGACAGCTGACCCAACGACAAGGCTACCAAGTGATAGCCCAAAAGATAACAGTATGCACACATAAGGTCTAGCCGCCAAGTAGTCAAGAGTGTGTTGGACAGGAGGAACTGTCGTAAGAAAAACGGCTGTTGTGGTTAACAACAACGCGCCCTATTCCAATACCCAAAAGAAACACTGCTTTAGTAAAGGAATGCAGCCGTACGGGTCGAAAGTACTCACGACCACGGTAGTATTTTCAATCCTGTGTTGTATGCGTATGCGGGCTTTGCTCTCATTCCAGACTTCTGCCCCAGGATGAGCGTGGATGTAAGTTTGCCTGAGTAATTTATGTCCAACAGACAAAAGGCACAGAGCCCGAAAGAGGAAGAGGTGTATGTGGGCTAAAACGTTACCCTTGACAGTCACCGGGGCTTTCCAATGGTCCGGGAGCTGCACCTTGTTAACTTGGGGCGCAGGACCACTGTGCCCATCATCACAAAAGGATTCGTGGCAGGGTGTACTGCCCGTTGATTGTGTGGGCCTTGAATCTTGAAATATCTTCATCATTGGTACAAAATTTTGGGTCTGTCTCTTTGGGGGAAGGGGGATCTTGCTTTTGAATCAGCTCTTATGAGGTGTGTCCAATGCATATTGGGTACGTGTCTGAGTGAATGAAATATTGAGCGCTTACTTCGTAAGTCCTGTTATAACTTTCTCATCTTCATGTTAATTGATTCATGAGTCTTCCTACTACTAATGTAATCAGGGTATGGAGATTGCTGCTGTGGTCCACGGGTCTTCGATGGAAAATAAAATGAAATTTCTGGTGAGGGAGTATTTATTAAGTTTGAGATGGGAATGAACCCTAGCAGAATTTATGTTGTCCATTTCCTATCTCCTAAGGCCGACTCTATGTATGCCACTGGGTCCCAATTTGGATTGAAACGAGTTGGATTCAAAGCCCGGCCGAACAGGCACATAAAAGGGAGGGGAGACAAGTTCCTCGAAGCCGATCACTTGTGGTATGGGCCGAATCCACCATCCATACTTACCTCACCTTTGGAAATGAGCCTTAGCCGTGTGCGTGTCGTGAACGAGGACGTGATCGCGGCTATCCCGTGCTCGTTTGGCGCTCATCTATGAGTCTGGGAAATTTGCGTTTTTTGACGCTTGTGGAGCGCTTACTGCGCCCCAGGTGTACGACTCGAGTGGAGTTTATTTGCTGCGTTAACGTGGGCTGTGCGGGTTGACTTTACAGGTGAGATGGTTTGGTGGTTCTGTGATGCCTCACTTTCGTGGTGAGACATACGAGTTAAGGTCATCGGCGGTTCCAGAAAGGGGGAGGGAGTTAATAGGCGGTGTCGGGAGTGCTATCATCAATGTCTAACACACCCATCTAGTAGTACAATACTGTTTCCTCAAATCTTCAAGCTGTGTCCAGGTTTATCAAACATGAACGTGAAGTAAGTTGTTTGATAATAATAATATTGACCAGGGGTCCATCCTGAATTTCTCACGCTCCAACGGCTCAACAACAGCCAAACACTGCCACACAAGCACGCGATTCCAAAACGCGACCCACTAGTAAGCACTTGGAGGTCTCCGAGTTAGAGCGTCTATACAAGAGTAAATTGCAGAGAGTCGTGAATCATTCGCCGATTGAACACCAAATCCAATCGGTTGTCTTAACGAGGCGGCAGGCTCCGGTTCTAATTCCTCCGATGTGCCGCGACTCTTCGAGGAACCTTTTCCCCTCCGATTCATTCCACTGATAGAGTTAGGTTCCTAATCCTATAAGAGCGGGAATTAATGACAACAAAAATATTACCCGCTCCTTCCAATGACACCAATCAACTAGAGCTTCAAAGGACAGGTCACAAGGCCGATTCGCATCAGAAAATTAGTAGAGCCTCTGAAAACATGTAATATACATATATATATGACTGATACAATGATATTAATATATCAGGCTTCTTATAACGTGCCCCAGTCCATGGTACATAAAAACTTATGCCATCCAAGATGATACCAGCATGTATTTTACCCGGTACAATAGCAGATAGCAAATTCAATTAGTCTTATGCACATCCCCATTAACCAAAACACCGATGTCACCTTACTACCAACCCATATATAAACGTAAATAACTAGTAATCACGATATATATATATATATGCATTAACCACAGACTCATAAGGTCTCCCAGGACCAACCAATGTCAGACCAGTACCCAGCACCCAACAACTACATAATAGTGATCCAAGCAAACAAAGAAACCGTAGCCGTGGGGAAAAGCACCACAAACACAGAACCTATACTAATCAATCGATTCTCCGAGAAGCTCGCAGCCAGCGCGATGCCTATCGACCAAGTCAAGAACATCAGAATAACATAATCACAACCAAGATCCAAACTCACCTATCGCACACAAACTTCCAGAGATGGCGACGGATATATGTGGGTATGATACCAGGAAGAGGATGCAGTAGAGTCGGGAGCGGGATCGGGTCCATTTCTAAAAATGATGTTAACGTAGTGCGTCAGTTAGGCGTCTGGGGAAGGGGTGGTGAGTGCTTACATTGATGAACCACTCTACATTACAAGTAGACGTGACGAAAATTATAGCTGATCCCATGATAAGCCCCCCGAGGGCCAACCCAAACGACAAGAGTATGCAGATGTAGGGCCCGACCACAAGGTAGTCCAGAGTCGGTTGGGAGGGTGGGAGAGTTGTTAGGAATACGGCTGTTGTAGCTAACAGCAAACCACACTATCCCAAAGCCGGTCTCAGCAGAGGGACCACAACCAGGAAACATAAACATAACCAGCCAAACTCACAACCACCGTAGTATTCTCAACCCGATTCTGCAGCAATGCCCTACTCTCGTCCCAAAGCTGCTGTCCACAGGTGATGTGGGGGTACGTGTGCCTAAGCGATCTATGCCCAATAGACAAAAGACACAGGATACGGAAAAAGAAAAGATGCACGCGAGCTGTGAAACCGCGTTTTTCTGTGGCCGGGGGCCGCCAGTGGTCAGGGAGCGCATCCATGTCATGGTGAGTTTGGCATTTTGGACAACCGGTGATGCTGGTGTAGGAAGGCGGGCTCGACATCATGTATCTTTCTTTTTTTTTTTTTGTGGTTTGTGGAGTTTTAAGGACGGGATGACCTTTTTTCTGGTGGTGGTGGGGGTGAAACCTTTTGGGGAAAGTCGCTTTTGAATGACGTTGGGCCTTGGCGATGGAAGTGTGCACCAGGCGCCTCTTTTGCATAGAGTGTGAGCACACAAAAGGAGGGATCGGAGCACTTTTTCATAACCGGTCTTCCGTGGTTCACGCTTACTTGAAGGCTACACCCGGAAGCAAGCCTCACCGCATGCGCGTGCGTGTCGTGAATGTGGTCGTGATCGCGGTCGTCCCGTGTATTGTTTGACGCCCGTCCACCAACCAGCATGGGAAGCTTTTGCATTTCATTTTCATTTTTTTTTTTTGACGCTCATGGAGTGCTTACTGCGCCCAGGTATACGACTCAAGATGGCATACTTTGCTCTCGCCGTGTTAATGTGGGCTGTGCAGATGGACTTTGCAGGTATCGGACTCGTGGTTTGCAGATCAAGGTGGTTCTGTGATGCCTCATCTTGTGACGAAACTCACGAGTAGATGGCCCCACCGGCGGTTCTAGATAGGGAAGGGAGTTAATGGGTGATGTTGGGAGTGCTATCATCCATGCCTGCGTTTCCATCCAGTCATGCAATACCTTCTCCTCAAGTCTTGAAGCCATACCCGGGTCATGAATGTGAAGCAATTTTCTCAGCGCTTATTACTAAGCTGTTCCAACCTGAATTTCTCACGGTCCGCTGATCTCAAGCTGCCGAGGGTGCAACAACGCCACGCGATTCCAAAACGCGACCCACTCAGCAGTCAGAGATACCCCGAGTTAGAGCGTCTATATTCCCTCTTCGAGCTCTTCGAGGCACTTCCACAACCTCACTAACACCAGTATACATTGTGAGCCGTGCAAAACGGCACGCTCCGGCTCTGGGGTTCCGACGTGCCGTGACACTTCAAGGAAACGTTTCCCCTCCGTGAACTCTCTGACTCATTCTGTCTAAGAGATTAAAAAGCACCCCTCCGCACCATCAGCAAAAAAGCTAATTTGAAACTACGTATTATGTAATAGAGTCAAGTCCCTAATACGACCAGAACGGTGGTTGGCCATAATAGTAAACACTCCCTCCCTCTGTGACCAACACTGCCTACCCCAAATCCCAAAGGCCCTGCGCAAGTCGTGGGGGGTAAGTGGAAGGTTTGATTTTGGGGACGACTTTTTTTATTTGAAACAAGGTACATTTTTGAACTTGGAACTTGGAATTTGGAAGTGGGCGGGCGCTATAGCCAAGTGGTTACGGCGACAGATTTGAATTGTCGTAATATTCAGGGATACACAATATCTGTTCCTCTTTGAGGGCGTAGGTTCAAATCCTGCTGGCGTCGATTTTTAATTTTTAGTTTTTAGTTTTTAGTTTTGGGTGGTTGTGCTATGAGGTAGATCGTGGGTAGCATCAACACAGGTATCATATATCATCCATTGAGAGGCGCAGAGACTCAAATGCATTGGGCGTAGTTGGGATCCCAATTTCAATTTCACGTGCGCAGGGATATACATATGCACCCATCTGGTACACTCCCTAACGACCACTTTCCGCCCACTTAGGCCCAAGTAGCGTTCCGTAGACGGTTAGTCCGCCATACCGTCAATCATTAGGGTACATATAAATAGCCCGTTGGAATCTAGGGCGATCGCTGGGAGGATTTATTTATAGGATTCTATCCCATTTGGTGAAGCTGCGATGCGTGATGCATGAGGAGGGTGCGTTTTAGTTTTAGTCGAGACGTAAGGAAAGTTGATATGTATTATGGGAAGGGTCGGCGAGGGTGGTTGGATCTTTACTCAATCGATGGTGAGTCGGACCTTGTGAAGTGGGTGGAACTACGTCCCCTGAATAATTTCCCAAAGGGTTAGTGATGGGCGTATGGGGCGTTGTCGTTAACCATACAATTGGTAGAAAGGGGCGAGGGGAGGTAGGGATTGAAATTGACGTCATGCATGTCTCGCTAATCACCACCTTCGAACGCCAGCCGAAATCTAACGACATTGAACCCAATCGACTGGCTTTTGGAAGACACGGAAGGAACAGTATTGGCAAGAACCTGATATTGGTAAAAGGTCACCAAGTCATGTGCTGTCCGCTAAACGCACCTCATGTACGCCAGAGTCCAGAATCTGATGCATCACGCAAGATAAGATAACATTGACATGCCATCGATATCCAGATGGGCCAAAGATCCCAAGAAGATACACAGCAGTCACGGTCCAAGGACAAGAAAAGAACGGACCCACGACGATTACGATAGACCCTCACGCCTCCCCGAGTTCTTTTCCCTGCCCTTGGCCATACTTGTACGCGGTATTTTCACGGGTGGTCGTATTTTTGGACGCGGGTCCGGTAATGGCGGTTGTTTGGCTACAACCCCACAGACCAAATCCAATTTTTTTTAGATCCGTCTTTCAAAATTCGAATTCGATATGGTCCCCATTGGCCAAGGACCGAAAAACCATGAAGGGGCAGTCCCCTTTGGCTGTACGATTGGCAGAGATATATGGAGGATGGGGCATCATGAGAGCCAAGGAGCCCGCATGCCGAGTGCCCCAAGCATGTGATGCGAGAACGCCTTCATAAACGCACGAAGCGAGGCAAAGGGCCGACGAACGTTCGTTGTCTGCGAGCCAGTAACGGAGAAGCATCGACATGTCAGGGTCCGGCTCATCCTTCCCGAGCACGGGGATCGAGATAAGATCAATATGATGGAAAAAAAAACTAAAGAAAAGGTTATTGTTTATATGTGTTGTGGTTCTCTACGCCCTTTTGAATTAACGGCACACGACCTGATAAAAATGATAGGCCCCCCCACGTCTCCACCCCTTCTCCTCCCTTCTCTCCTCCTTACTCCACGCTTGACGTGGGTTATCCAACGTGCGTCCCTTTGGTGGGTTTATATACCCCTCGGTGTCTGATACCTCGATTTCCCATAGATTTGATTTTGATACGGACGAGACGATATGTCAGAACACGCCGTAACCTCAGGTCGTGCGACCCCCACCCCGACTACAGAGTCGGCCCATTACAGATCGGGCCTCGCGGACGTTGACCAGAGTGGACGTCCGGCGTTCATACTTACACGTACTGAGATCAAGCTTCTTGGTATCGCAGGAGTGAGTACACCCATACCATCGAGTATTCGTCCGGGGTCGCTGACTGTGCCCGTCGTTTTTCACCTTTGCAGGTCGGGTTCTTCCTAGATGGTATATCGTTTTTATATATATTTGTTCCTTGTGTGCCGTTAGCTGAACCATTATGGCGTCGTTCTAGCTTATGATCTATTCATTATCAACGTCAGTCATCATGCATCATGCATCGGCTATCACTGATCATCATAAACGTATAGCCCGTGGCGACCATGCTCCAGTACCGGCTATACGGCGGCGGCCACCTGCCCCCGAACCTAGAGGGGTTCATGAAAGCCGGCGCGAATATTGGCAGTGTTATTGGACAGTTTGCGTTCGGTACGTTGATCGTGTCGCGTTGGAGTCCAACCTCGGCCCTGACGTCATACCCATCCTGCCCCCTTAGGTTACGCCGCAGATGCTCTCGGGCGCAAAGCAGTCTGTCCGTCCCCCCCCACCTGACACCCCCCACTTCACTAACTTTTTTTTTATTTATTTTGTTTTTGTTATTTTTATTTTTATTTTCCCTATCCACAGACGGCAAAGAACTAATGCTCATCATCCTCGCCACCATCCTCACAATGACCACACCCACCGGCACGCTCAGCCCCGACAACGCCCTCATCTACCTCGCCGTCTTCCGGATCCTGCTCGGCATCGGCGTCGGCGGGGACTACCCCATGTCCGCGTCCATCACCTCCGACCGCTCCAACCTCCGCAAACGTGGCACCATGCTGGCGTATATATTCTCGAACCAGGGGTGGGGCAGTTTCATGGGGAGCTTGATTACGATTATTGTGTTGGCGGCGTATAAGGGTGTTATGGAGGGTAAAGGACAGACGTCGAAAGTTGATGGAGGTACGTTCCCCACCTATTTCTTTCTTTCGTGATGATCCCGGGAATGTTGAATTGATTTGCGGTTTTGTTTGAAATTTTAAAAAAATAAAAATAAAGTCTGGCGAATCGTAGTTGGCGTCTCGCTCGTCCCGGCTTTCGGAACGCTCTACCAGCGCCTCACCCTCCCCGAATCGACCCGCTTCCTCGCCTCTCAGAAATTGAAAAATGCGAATGCGCGGGAGGAAGGGGACGCCATCGCCGAGCTCAAGCGCGCGCAACTCGGGGAGGACGCGCGGATGGGGAATCTGAACGGGCCGGTGGATGAGAAGGTGGGGGCTGACGCTAAGGGGGAGGAGGAGCCGTCCTCGTCGTCGTCCTTGGAAGATGAGAACGCTGCACCGCCGGAGGTGTTGGTTAAGAAGAAGGCTCATTTCTCAGGTGGGTTTTGTCCTGAAAACCGGGACAAATTCGCGTTCTAAATTTTTTTTTATGATGGGGTTGGGGTAGATTTTATCAAGTACTTTTCGAATTGGAAACATGGAAAGATGCTCCTTGGGACGTGTATGTGCTGGTTCCTACTTGATATCGCGTACGTCCTTCCCCGTCTCCCTACCCCACCCTCTCCCATCTATCCCTTCCGTCCTGATGACTTACAACACCCGATCCAATACAGATTCTACGGAATAAACCTAAACCAGAACGTCGTCCTCCAGCAAATCGGGTATGACGGAGCGGAGGGCACGCCGTGGCAGCGCTTGTTTAAGATTTCTACTGGGAATATGATCGTTACTGCCCTTGGGTTTGTCCCCGGTGGGTGTCGTTTCTTTTTCCTTTCCTTTTTCTTCCTTCCCCTCTTAGGGGGTATTGGGTGTGGTATAGAGGTACTGATGAGTCTTTTTGGGATGTAGGGTATTACGCCTCGATTCTGACCATCGAGAAATTGGGCCGGAAGTGGATCCAGATCCAGGGGTTCCTCATGGCTGCTCTTTTCTGTACGTCCTGCTCTCCCTTCATTTTTTATTCCCCTTTGCTGGATTTTTGAATGCCTTTTTTTTGCGGTGATGTAGTGGCGATCCTGGCAGGCAAGTTCGAGACGTTGAGTAAACCGGCTTTTATTGTTTGTTTTGCCCTCCTTCAGGTACGCACGCCTTTTTTATTATTATTATTATTATTTGGTAAGGTGTACTAACCCCCTACTGTAACTATGTAGTTCTTTTTCAACTTTGGAGCGAATACGTACGTCGCCCCTCCCCTTCCCCTTTCACACACCCGCTAACACCGGCTCCAAACCAATAGCACGACATACTGTTACCCAGCAGAAGGTACCTCCCCCTTCCCCCCTCCCCCCTCCATGTGGAAAGACGACAATATATTGATATTTGCTCGACCTAGTATTCCCGACAAGATTCCGCGCAACCGCACATGGAGTATCGGCCGCAGCGGGTAAAGCGGGCGCGATCGTGTCTGCGCTGGCGTTTAATACGTTGAGTAAGGATATTGGGACGCCTGCTTGTTTGTGGAGTGAGTCCCTCTGCCCTTTCTCTTTCTTTTCCTCCCCTCTCCCGTTCCCTTCCTTCCTTCCTTTTTCACTTTTGTTTTATTATATTGTGGTACTGACTTGGTCGTTCATGATAGTCTTCTTCGGGTGCTGTATAGCAGGTGCCGGTGCGTTCTTTTCTCTTCTTTTCTTGTGGGTGTAAAAGCTTGGTTTGGTTGTTGATGTACGAACGCTATATTATAGGATTCACGCTCCTCCTGCCTGAAGTGAGGAACCGCGATCCGGATTTGATCCTTGCGGAGGAGATCAAGGAGGCGCGGGAGGCGATGGAGAGGCAGACGGCTGATGTCGTTGCGGGGCGTTGAGTTGGGGAGTTGAGGGGTCGCTCCCCTTTTTCTCCTTTTTCTTCTGTCCTGTCGTCTGTTCTCCTTTCTCGTTCCGTCTCCTGTTCCGTCTCGCCTCCTCCCCCTCCCCCAGCCCCGTTCGCTGTTTCTATGTCCCTCCAGGATTTCTTGTGGGTTTATCCTATTCCTATGCGCATGCGCCTTTGTTTTGTTTCGTGCGCCGTTGCGGTCCCTTATTACCCCCCTCCCTCATCTTTCATCACCCGGACCCGGATTTGGATTTGGATTGGATTTGGATATACCATGACTGGACCACGACTACCACCCACCGCCACGACCACGACTGCCACCACACCCACCCACCCCATGCAAAATCGAACTCATTATCTATATTTATTCAATCGCTCCCCGCAACCCCCACCTATGGTTGGTGGGTATGACTGGACTGATGAGAGGTGTAGGTTTGAAGAAGATCTAACAAAGAAAAATTTGTAGTATGTTGTAAGTAGTAGTAGTAAGACGCGATGAT